GTGTAAAGGAGCGTCACACTATGGACTCTCTGCAGAGAGAAAGCGTCGCTCTCAGGAGGGCGACTGCACAGACAGCACCTCAGAGCTCACTCTGGCAGCACTGCCCGGCGAGGGTTGCCCCTCCTCAGCCATCGCCCTCCTATCAGATGAGCCTGGCCTGGTTAACCCCGCCTATGAGCCCAGTGTGGAGGATAACAGCCAATCCGGGAGCACCACCAGCCTGGCAGCACGCAGCGGTTCCCGGAAGAGTGAGTGTGAGTGCACACAGTGTATTTGTGTGTATTTGTTTATATCTTAAAAGTGTTGTGTGTATATGTGTTTGTGTGTGTGTGCATGCAAAAGGTTTTATGTATCCTACACTATAAAGAATGCAGAGTTCCACACAATGCATTTATGTTGTCCCAACACAAATCGATTAAGTTAGATTAACACATTTAAGTGGACTGAATATAAAATAATTAAGCTGTCCCCAAAAAATCTCAAGAATTGTGTTGTTTTAGCTCATTTTAAATAAGTTGTTTGACCAAGCAGCAAACACATTGTTTTTAATGTATATGGGTAATTCTTTAACTACGGGCACTTTTATGTCCTTTGATCATATATCCAAAAATATATAGAATTTTGTCAAACTTATAATAAAACTTAATTTAAAAAAATTTACTAGCTATATTTTTTTCATATTATTCAACCTCTTTTTAGGTGTCAAAATCACTGTTTTCGCCTTGTCGCACACTCAGAGTATTATACTTTAACAATATTAATAACATTTTAAAATATTATGTAGCTGGTAACTTTTAATGTATCTTAATTAAGTACTTGTAAAATAGGTTAAATATTTTATAGTTTTTAACGTAAGACTATAATCAATAAAATTTTATACTTAACATAGCTGTCGCACAGTTTCAGTGTCATTTCCAACTTGTAATGTCGCTTAAAAAGGTTTGTGTGAAAGATTGTTTAGGTGGTTTCTATGAAAATGATTAGTGACATCAAAACACATGTTCAAGATTGAGGGAATTTTTATCAACAACACTTGAAGAAAAATCAAGATAAATATTGCTTGATAAGGAAATACATTAATTTAGTCATTCCCAAACATGCTGTACCTTCAAAGGTGTTTTTAAAAACCAAACAAAATTAAGGTAAATAAGAGTGTTTTGTATACATGAAACGCTAGTATCAATTCAAAGCTAATCGGTGAAGCTATCTTTAATTTTTTAACAATAAACTGTAGAATTGTCATTTCCTCCTCTGTCATTTCCATCCATCCATTCATATACACACACACACACACACACACACACACACACACACACACACACACACACACACACACACACACACACACACACACACACACAAACACACACACACACACGCACACACACACACACACACACACACACACACACACACACACACACACATACACACACACACTAAATTCAACATTTTGCATTTAAAAATTTTTAAATATATAGTTGAAGTCAGAATTATTAGCCACCTTTAGATTTTTTTTTTCTTTTTTAAATATTTCCCAAATGATGTTTAACAGAGTAAGGAAATTTTCACAGTATGTCTGATATTTTTTATTTTGGAAAAAAGTCTGTATTTTGGCTAGAATGAAAGTAGTAAAAAAAACAAAAAACATTTTAAGGTCAATATTAGCCCCTTTAAGCTATATTTTCTCTTGATTGTCTGTAGAACAAACCATCATTATATAATAACTTGCCTAATTACCCTAATCTGCCTAGTTAACCTAATTAACCTAGTTAGGTCTTTAAATGTCACTTTAAGCTGTATAGAAGTGTCTTGAAAAATATTTAGTAAAATTTTACTTACTGTCATCATGGCAAAGATAAAATAAACTAATTATTAGAAATTAGTTATTAAAACTATTATGTTTAGAAATGTGTTGAAAAAAATCTTCTCTCCGTTAAACAGAAATTGGGGAAAAAATAAACAGGGGGACTAATAATTCAGGGGGGCTAATAATTCTGACTTCAACTGTATGTTTTTGAATTGCTTTTATTCTAAGATTTATTATTATTATTATTATCATTATTATTATTATTTAGTATAGCACCATTTTCTTTTGGAGATGTTCCATGCAATTGTCTTTTCCTTTCTCACAATTATTGAGAGAGCTACAGCATTCTGAGTAATGTCATTTATTCAAAGTTGCGCTCTGCACCACTAATGTCATTTGTAATGCAAAAATCAATTCAAACTGCACATCTATAAAGACTCTGCTGAGACACATAAATTATTTAGCATTTAAAGACAAAGATTAAGAAAGAGAAAAGTGTAAATGCCATGTGAACACTTTATGACCTCCACACATCGGTTTCAGTTTCTGACATTGCCTCAAAACGTGAAGCATGGAGAACGGGGACAATAAATGCTGCTGCCCCAGCAGTTCTGGCTTTAGGACTGAAAACAGTGTGACACTGCAGCTGAACAAGCTGTCTGCATCCACTCTGCCCAATGCCATTTTAAACCTTGTTCAACAGGACTGAATGACTGAAAGAGTTGAAAAATGCAACCATTGTTATTAAATTGAACATAAAGAACATTTGAACACCATTATATTTGTTTACCGAAACTTTCATATGTGATGTCATCACACAGACATGCAGAAACAGTATCCAGCACAGCTCTGTGCTGATTCAGGTCTGACCTGAGGTTCTTACTGCAGTGTCCACAGTTCATCATCAGCAGGTGCCGCCAACTTATCCAGAATATGTTTTACACAACGGATGCCATTCCAGCTCTCCCCATTTCTGGGAAACATCCATCCATACACACTCATTCACACACATACACTACAACCAGTTTAGTTCATTCAATTCATCTAAACCACATCGTCACCTTGGAATTATAAGATTCTATCTGCGTTCTAAATGATTTTGAGATATTGAGCTTCAAAGTTTTTGCATTCCATATAGCAAAGAGCAAGTGTGTAACATTTGTTTTTTAAATAAAAAGTCTTAAAATGTAAACAACTAGGCTAAATTGTCCATAGTGAGTGTGTGTGTGAATGTCTGTGTGTATGTTTCCCAGAGATGGGTTGCGGCTGGAAGAGCATCCACTGTGTAAAAACTTGCTGGATAAGTTGGCGGTTCATTCTGAAACAATTTTATCAAAAATGTCTCAAACTATTATACAACACCCATTCTTGTCAATTGACAATTTTGAAAAAAACTTTTAGATCCACTTCATATGTTGACTATACAGTTTTAAGTTGTGTCTGCTAATTTGATCTGTTTCTTGCAAATAAATTATATCAATAAACAAGCTCAAGCTTTCAAGTTTCAAGGTTTCAGGCCACAATAATTTTACGTGATCTACATTAGACACTATAAAACAATATACTGTTAGATGAGTTATACAATTGCACTGGTATTTATGGACAGACAATAAAAAGGTTTAGACCCTCACCTTGTCAGACTGTTGTCACTTGGTTTATTTAATCAGGCGATTATGTAAAATTGAGACTAGTAAACCATGCCAAAAGGATCTGTCTTAGGCCTTCTTCAGTTTTCAGAATATATGCTGCCTGACTGATTGTAACCAGAATGTACAAAGGACATGTCCAGACATGCTTGGGCAGAGAAGTTTCTCTCTCCTCCTCCTTTCTCAGTCACTTTCTTCATTTCACTCTCGCATTCATTCACAGATCGCAACTTCGACAGGACGTCGGTACGCAGCCGCTCATTTCGGCGCCTGAATAGAGCCTTCAGTGTCCTACGGAGGACCAAGAGTGGGACAGCAGTGGCCAATGACACCACAGAGGAGCGAGACAACCTCAGAAATGCCAACATACCAGCAGAGGGTGAGTGTGAGTGTCCAAATTTTCTATTTTCTCACCTGGTTAGGCTGAAAATATAGGTAATGAACAAACTGAATGCCAACTTGGGACCAGTTAGAATCAAAGAAATGTAGCCAGAAGACCAGTTAGACCAAATTAAACCAGATAATAACAAAGCTCTGTTTGATGCTATCTTTTGTATTATATTTAGTATTGGTGTTAGGGTCAACATGAAATGTAGCAAACCTGTTAGTAAATGAAGTATAAAGCCCCGTTCACACAATATAAATTTATAATGAAATCTTTATTTATATCCAGAATACAGTATAATTACATTGTTTCTTAACACCAAAACACATTTTTTGAGATGTTGACAGTCATATATATGTCCCACGCTGCTAAAAACACTATTAGGACACATTTACTTCACAAAAAAGTGAAAATTGGTTGTTTATGCATTTTTTGAGCAAATTCATTCTTCAAGTTTCGAAGCTACGTCAAGACCATGAGATCCTTGTGTAAATTCTCGCCTGGAGACTGGATGTCTGTACCAGCCAGTGCAACACCCACTCATACACTACAGACAATTTAGCCTAGTTGTTTAAATCTTTGAGTCAGCATTAATTAATGAGAAATACTTCCAAGTCTTTTTAGACCACCAATCAGCCCGCTCTATTGTGAATAAGGTGCAACTTCATTAATATGCATGATAAGCTTCGATGACTGTTTACCTGTTACAGTGTTCAGACTTGTGCTGCCAATCGTAAACCAAGTGGAAGAAGAAAATTGTTTGGAGACAAGGGTTGTCAGTGTTGTTTAAAAATGTGCCACAATAAAAGTTTTGATTACATTTTCCAACAATGAGAGTGAAGCTGCATGTGGACATGTGGATTACAGTGGTCTGCTAACAAGCGACAAAAAAACGTTTGTAAGGAACATTTTTTATTCAAGAGCTTTTCGGTTACACGGTTTCAGTTTGTGTTGATTGTCCTGTCTTTACGATTTTGGTAAGTAGGCAAGATTCTGACGGTATGATAACCTTAAAAAAGTATCATGGTCTCACAGTTTCACGGTATTACGATTACTGCTCTAAAATATGTTCTGTGTAATTGTCTAAACTTTTTTCTCTCTTGAACACAATATATTTTAGTTTGAGAAATATTTTTAAACAGTAAACATGTCAGACTAAACTTCTGTTTTGTTAAATCTTTTCAAAAATAGATTTTTTATAATTTAAAATGGCATATTTTGCTATCTTTTCTGTTGGAGATTCTGTTGTCCTTAAAAAAAAAAATAAAAAAACAGAAAAAAAAAAATCTTACACATACCTTAGGAATGGTATTGCTGAAAATTTTGACGGTTTTAAAACCTTTAAACTGCGGTATACCTTAAAACTGGCTATTGTCCCAATTGGTAAGTGTGTGATCTATGTTCGCTGTTTATGTTTATTCAGATGGCAAAGTTCTCTTTCAGTTTTTAAAGTTCTCTTTCAGTTTTTAAAGACATACCTTGTTCAAAATGATTTAGTTACTAAGTTTACAGTACGTTAATATCACTTCAATATTATGGACTGAAAGATCCGCTGTAAATGCTGCTTTCCTAATGTAAACATGTAAACACCTCAATCTAACTATTATCGTCATGTAGGATTTTCAGCGCATTTTGTGACAGGATAGTTTGTACACACATGTCACTTACCGGTTCCTTGCTTTGACCGAGAAATGCGTATGTTTATTTTTCTCCCATACAGCATGCAGTATTAAACATTCCAGTAAAACAACACTCTTCCAGCAGTTCCTCGCATCCAATATCTCGTTAGTCACGGGGGGCTTGCATGAAATGTTTCTGAATGAAAGTAAAAGTGCCAAACTGCGGTTAAAGTCGACAAATTAAGAATGAAACAACTGAAACTACATGAAACTCTGTGGTAAATGTGGATAGCGTAGTGACGTGATGATGTTAATCATATTATGTGCTATAACATGTAAAACGGGATCATGAAAGGAACAATCAAAAAGTAACTCATGTAAACACTTTTTTTCATATTATTGTTTTATTCAGATTAAGGCAAATAATTTGATGACTGATGTCCATGTTAATGTAGTCACTGTCTGTCTCCCCTATGTCTGTTTTGCCGCTGTCAAAATCAGAGCATGCATGTACTGAAATTCCCCTTTTCATGCAAACCCTTCCCTCTTTCGCCACTCGACACTCCCACCTAAACAAAGCTGGACACCCACTTTCCTCACTATTTTCAAACTATAGGTGTGAAAATACCTTGTTGAATTGGGGGGGGGGGGGGTTCAAGGCCCTTTCAAAGCACATGGTTAAGTTTTGTAATTTGTTGAATGCTCAGGTTTGTTGGTTGGGTTTTGCTCTGTTTTAAAATTGATTCCAAAGTTATTATTCTTCTGTGCCATTATCCTTATAGTTGTGGTGGATTTGCTAACAATATAGTTATTGTCCTTGATGCGAGGTATTAAAATCTCATTGTGTCATTAATATTCGCTTAAGAACCGGAAATGGCATATTCGAGGTCAGTCACAAAATCAGACATATTCTCAGCCTTGGGGAATGAATGTTCCCATCACTATCGTTGAGTAGCATGTTAAAACAATGTCAATGGATAATAAAGGAGAAAGGGAGTGTGTCAGAAGGTGACAGTCTGGTTTGGGTCCGCTCAGCACCGCAGTAGCATATGGTCCTTTAATAATGCAGATGGAGCCTGAGGAGCCTTGTCAGAGAGAGACAGAGAGGAAATAAAGCAAGCAGTGTGTCGGGACAGAGAGACTGGACAGATGAACGCTAAGTGTGAGGGTTGCTTTCTGAATGTAAACAAAAGAGGAAAAGAGACTGGAAATGAGTGAGGAAAATACTGATGAGCAAGTGTGTGCGCGCTTTCGTTATGTAACACCCTGGTTGCGGTAGTAATGAGCTTCACTTTCTCTTTCCCTGCAAGCAATCAGAAGTGATGAGAGGAAAATATTGACTTTGAAAGAGAGAAACTGCAGATTGTGGAGAACAGGGGGATATGTGTGTGTGTGTGTGTGTGATGGCAATGGAGAAAGAAGGGATGGATAAAGATAAGGAGAGACTCACTAGAGATTGTTACTGAATTCAGCTGTAGTATTACAGTACTGTGTGTTCAGGCACAGGTGCAGTACAAATTGTTCACCCAGAACAAATACAAACATACAATGTGAGCTTATTATGAACCCATTTACAATGTATATCCTCATATCTGCATAATTCCATTCTAGCTCTATGGCTGCACACAGTGCCTTCAGTCATTTAGATTTCACTGATATTTTGGCTAAATTTAAGTTTCGATGTTTTAACCACACAGACTTGAAAATGCATAAAAATGTTAACTTCTAGTAATGTTTTTATCATTGTTATTATTGGTTTATTATGTACTGTATACACGAAAATATTAAGAGACAGTTAAAAGATTCTTAGGATTAAGGCTGGGCGATTTGGCCTAAAATCAAAATCTCGATTAACTGAACATTCAAACTTGACTACAATTAATGAACGGTTATTTCATTTATTTATTTTGCCCTCATAGTTCACTGACAAGTTTTGTACAGTAAACCTGCTGACAAATTACAAATGAGAAATTTTTGAATGAAGAGTGTACTATTCATTTCATCCATTAATTTTTTTGTCGGCTTAGTCCCTTTATTAATCTGGGGTTGCCACAGCAGAATGAACCGCCAACTTATCCAGCACATTTTTACACAGCAGATGCCCTTCCAGCCGCAACCCATCTCTGGGAAACATCCACACACACACACACACATTCACACCTACTCTCGCACATGACTATGGACAATTTAGCCTACCCAATTCACCTGTACTGCATGCTTTTGGATTGTGGGGGAAACCGGAGCACCCGGAGGAAAGCCACTTGAACGCAGGGAGAACATACAAACTCCACACAGAAAAGCCAACTGAGCTGTGGATCGAACCAGCGACCTTCTTGCTGTGAGGCGACAGCACTACCTACTGCGCCACTGCATCGCCCAAGAGTGTATTACTTAATTGAAAAATAATTGAAGGAAACATACACTACACTACTACCTATGATTATTTATTGAACATCAACGCTGAACAACTGTAATTAAAGGTAAATTTATATTTATGTTTCCATATGAGTAAAATGTCATTTTTATTCAGTAAACTACCAATAATATTTCCTTCCATTTTAAAATAAAGGTTGTAATTTAGAATTTGTATAATTCTTTAATTTTTTTATTAAATAATAAAAAATATTTAAGTTTTTCAAAGACTTTTTTGATACTTTTTTGATACTACACAGTTTTTTTACACAGTTTAAGTTTTTTTTAGACTACACAGCATCAATACAGTTTTAGCTTCAAAATAGTTTAGAAATCAATATTTGGTAGTATATTTTCCCAAATTTTTTAAATCGTAGTATTCAAATTTTTAAATTAACCCTAATTTTTAACCCAAATGCAACAAAAGGAAAAGTGTTTGGGGCTGTTTTTTTTTCATAAAAAACTTTTTATGTCCACCTGTTACAAGAAAGTTGGGTAACAATGCAGCACTGATTCATGTGCAGTTCATTATGGGCCGTTGTAGAGGCAGAAGATCATCAACAGAAGCACAAAAAAAAAAAACATGAGGGTGATTTAATAGTCTGGGTACAAGCAAGGTTATAACAAACACGGCAAAGAAAATAAACATAAACAAGACTAGGAACATTGACCAGGCTAGAAACAAAACACGAGAATCAGGACATACACGGAAAACTAAGTAATGACTGAGTAATGTGTGTGTGGGATGCATAAATAGTACAGAGATCAGTCCATGATGCGAAACCAGCAGTGGGTGAGCAATCAGTTTGAAATGCTCAATGCATGCTGGTACAAGTACACAGCAAAATATGGGGACCCAAAACAACTCTATGGGTGTTAATTTCAACCCTTTGAAAGTGTCTCATGGGGTCCACTCAAAACAGACTTAAAGAGAGGGAGAGATGAGTACCTGAAGAGCAATGAGATGAGTTGCGCGCGACGTACCTGAAGAGAGGTGGGGGTGACTTGCGCGCGACGTACCTTAAGAGCTGGGAGGGATGCGGTGGAGAGGGGCGTGCAAAGTTTAATGACCGGGCGGGAGACGCGCGATTTCCAGGAGATTATCATTCATTTGCGGGCATCAACTTGGGTATCTGGGAGTCTCTGTGCATTTGCGGGATAACGTTAACGTTAGTCCCGCAACTTCCGGGAGACTTCTGTAACGTCAAATGTCTGATAAAGTGCAAACGCGGTCATTTAAAGACATTAATGTTAACATTCCGACTTTAATGGAAGTCAACACTTAATATAATTCAAGCGTAACTGTTACGTTATCACACGAGTCTATGGACTAACGTTATTTGGACAGCCACGAATGAACCAGTTTAAAAGGGCTGCGGTGTTTAAAATAACCAAATTAACGTACACGAATAACAAACAATCATATGTTTCAGTCAGGAAGCCTTTTACAAGTAAGCATGTTCATTTACTCACCAGATATGTTTTAGAAACTCCAGAGCTCATGGAAACCGTCCTGTGTTGCCGTTAGCATCCAGGCAGAGTAGGCTAGGCTGCTCCGGGGATTCCCTCGCTAGTTTGCTTTGAATTAAAGGAGAAGTGTCGATTTTATTTTACAGATGGGTAACAACGCACAAAATAGCATTAAGCGTGACATAAATGTGTTTAACATGTACATTTGATGTTTTTATGCACTATGTATGCGTGAGCATATATAAAAAACATTCTTGAAAAGAAGTGAATAGTAATGCAGTTAAGCTATACACAAACGACCATGAATGAACCGCAGAAGTTTAAAATTGTCACTCCATTCTAAAATTATTAACTTAACAATATGTTTACAACTGTATTTCCTTAAAGAAAGTCAGTAAAATACCAACATTTAGGTAGTTTGACTCACCAGTTGCTGTTCTAAACCTCAGATGGAAAATGGCGTCTGGAAAATTCTTCAGTGACTGGGGCTGCATGAATTCCCGGATGTTGGAAATAACACCACCAAGTATTGAAAAGATAACTCTTTGATTTCGCACTGAATAAAATCAATTTTAACTCTTATTATATTCATTTATCAAAATTTAACTCTTTAACGTCAACACTTTACTCTGAAATGCTTCAACACCGAGAATTTAACTCTGATGAATTTGCTGTGTAGTTCATTAATATGGTGCTTGTAGTTCTCGAGCGATTTGCAGTCCCTAGATTGCTGGTAATTGTTATACCGCCAAAGCTGGTCAGTAAAAATTATCCAACTGGTGAAATAAGTTTTTATGAAATATTATTGCAATTTAAAATTGCGAGTTTCAATATTGGAAAAATATGCTTAAATCAAATTAATTGCTGGTTTATTTCTTATTTTCAAATAGTCAGCATCATTACAAAAATCCTCTTAACAGGCACTCTTAACAATTGTGTAGTTCCTTGAAAAAAGAAAATGGTTTGACAAATGAAAAGTTGAATAAATTACATTTGTTATTATTAGACATACATTTTTCCCTGTCAGTTTTAATCAACACAACAACTACTTTTAAATAAAACAACGAATTACTATTATAAAAAATAACATATTAGCTCCAGATTTTTGATCAGCGCTACAGTATGCACATTTGTCTGTGGAAAAAAGTTTAATTTTACTTAAAACTCACCCCTTTAATTGTAAGATTTATCTTAATGCATTCATATAAAGTCTCTGCCAGCCTTGCATCCACCAACAGACCACTGTAATGCTTTTTTAAGTCCTGCAGTCATGCTTGGCCTGGCTTTACTCTGGACAGATGCCCTGTTTGTGTAGCACTGAAAGTGATGATCATGTGGGAGTTCAGTTCACTGATTACACAAACTCTCTCTCTCTCTCTCTGTTTCAGTATTCGCATTACCTCAGCTGCATCATCTAATCCCTGATGGTGAGGTCACCAGTATTAAGATCACCAGGGCAGATCCTTGTGAACCACTGGCAATCAGTATTGTTGGTGGCAATGAGACCCCTCTAGTACGCATCCTCATACAAGACATCTACCGCGAGGGGGTCATCGCTCGGGATGGAAGACTACTACCTGGAGATATGATTCTTAAGGTGCGTATGTGTGCTAGAGCTGAGATTACGTCAATGTACAGTAGGAGCAAATCACCCCGGTTTTGATAGCACATGTTGTCACCATCTGTTGTTCAGAGGAGCAACGTGTTAGGATTCTGCATGTAGACATTTTAATGCCTTTTGCTTTCATTTTTAATTTGATCATGTTATATAAAATAAGCAGAGATGCTCTTATATTTACATTTAAGCTGTGATTATGTTAATGTCCCATAAGCCTAAAAAAAGCAGATATGCAGCATTCCCAGAATCAACATTAGAACCAGCTTTATATTCCAAGTCTGTACAAACATGCAAGGAATTCATTGTGGGTTCCAGGAACTTTGTATACATAGATATATAACACAAGAACACTAGAAAAACATTTGAATAAGTCAACTGGCGGTTCATTCCACTGTGGTAGTCCCTAATAAATCAGACACTAAGATGAAGGAAAATGAGTGAGTGCATTGGAATAAGTTAGATTAATAAAAATAAGAATTTAAAATATATTTTAAAAACAATAAAACAACGTAGATCTAGATATAATGGCATATGTAAAATGTACTGTAAGGACACTATAAATAAAATAATGTGTATTTATAAAGTAAACATTCTATTGTTGCATATAAGAGTACTGGATTACTGGTTTTAAAAATATGCAGTAATTGGTGTGTTAGCTGTTTAGATGGAGATGTGGACATGGACAGAATTTTATGTCTAGATGTTCTAGTCTATGCTAATGAACGGATGAATAAAAATAACGCTAAATAAAATTAACATTTAAAATTTGATCTTTCAGTAGTGTGTTTCTTGCTATTAATCCCATGCATGTTAATGAATGAATGAATAAAAATAACACTAAATAAAATTAACATTTAAAATGTGGCCTTTCAATAGTGTGCTAATTTATGCAATTAATCATACTTAAAATTAAAATATGTATGCTAACAACCAGCTAGATGTACATCCTATCTTACATAAAGCTTATACAAACTACAAACACTTATATCAGGTAAATGCAACCTTCAATTTTAATTGTGATTAGGCATTGGCTGATATAAGATTCTGAAGGTATGATAACCTTATATAAAAAATGCTTCCAAGGTATTGTGCTCTAAATTATGTTCTTTTTAAATGTCTGGGTAAAAAACTAAAACTTTTACCCCTTTGAACACAATATATTTTCTTTTGAGAAACACTTAAAATATTTTGGAGCAGTAAACATGTCAGCCTAAGTAATTCAAATGAATCATTGACTGATTCTGTCTTCATTAGTTTAAAAAAAATAACAGATTTATTTACCATTGATTAATTTTTTATATCTTTTCTGCTGGAGATACTATTGCCCTAAAAACAAACAGAAAATTATAATAAAAAAAATAAAAAAATCATCTTACAAATACCATAGGAATGATATGGCAGAAGACGTTGGCGGTTTTAAAACCTTGACTTTTCCAAACCACGATATACCTTGAAAACGGTTATCATCCAAAGCCTAATTGTGATTAATCCTAAATAATTGTTTGACAGTACTACATGAAACTCAGGCTTTTGGAATTGGTTATGATATATCATTCTCTGCTGTTTGAGCTTTAAACATGTACATAATCATAAATTAATCATCTCATACTGTGTGGTCTCTTCAGGTAAATGGCATTGACATCAGTAACGTGCCTCACTGTTATGCCGTGGCGGCTCTGAAGCAGCCGTGCACACTTCTGCGGTTGACCGTCCTGCGAGAGCAGCGCCATCGCTACCGCTCCCATCATCACTCCCCCACCGAGGCCTTCCCTGCCCACACGGCCACCATTCGGGATGACAGCCTGCATGTGGTCCTTGTTAAAAGAGCTCCCGATGAGCAGCTGGGCATCAAGCTGGTGCGCAGGCCTGATGAGCACGGCGTCTTCATCTTCCACCTGCTGGAGGGGGGACTGGCGGCCCGTGACGGCAGGCTGCGGGTAGACGACCGTGTGCTGGCCATTAATGGCCACGATCTGAGATATGGTGCCCCAGAACACGCCGCGCTGCTTATTCAGGTGAGGAGCTGTTGTGTGTATAAAAAGTGCTGTAGGGCTGATGTCAAAACTTTGAAGAAACTACCTCGAAATTGCCCAATGGGGGTTTATAATAGGTGGTGGTTTTAATTAATGAGCAAAATAATGTCTGTAAACATAACTTGACAATATTTGAATGTTAATCTTTTCAGACTAGCATCACAAATGTTATGACATGAATGAATGATATATATCTTTTATACAGTTGAAGTCACAATTATTAGCCCTCCGGAATTTCTATTGTTTATTTTTTTTCTCAATTTATGCTTAACGGAAAGATTTTTTCAACATATTTCTAAACATAATGGTTTTAATAACTCATTTCTAATAACTGGTTTATTTTATCTTTGCCATTGTTACAGTCACCAGCGATCTAGCTACTGCAGATCACTGAAAACTTCACTTTCACTTTCACCTCCACAGGAACTACAAATCCTGTCATGCATCTCACACACACCTGTTCCTGTTTAACATTGATTACACTCACACAGCCAGAACATCATGATTAAATGATTACATGGACTATAAATACACCACACTTGCACACACAGCACTAAGCCTAGTTTTTTTCTGTAATCTTTATGAAGCTGGTTTCCTTGCCTTGTTTTCCTGTGCCGTGTTTGATCTCTACTTTTTTTCTCTAATTTTGATGTTGGCCGCCTGAACCATCTCTTGCCTATTTTTGACGATTCTTTTGGATTGCCTTTGATGATTCTGTTTGCTCTCGTGATTGACACTTGCCTGCCTGATCATTCTTTGTAATAAAGACACTGCCATTGGATTCTCACCTCCGTTGTCCAGAACCATAATGTTACAGCCCTGATGACAGTACTTAATATTTTACTAGATATTTTTCAAGATAATAGTATTCAGCTTAAATTGCAATTTAAAGTCATAACTAGCTTAATTAGGGAAGTTAGGGTAATTAGGAAAGTCATTGTAATAAGATGGTTCATTAGACAGTCAAAAAATATTGCGTAAGGAAGCTATTTGTAAGGTATGAACGATGACAACAGACATGCAGATCCACATGCAGTTTATTAAAGTGAAGTCGGGCAAGCAATGGTTAAAAACAGGAGCAAACTGGTGCACAAGGGTAATCAAAAAAGCGTTGTCAAATCCAAGGTAAAGATCAGGACAGGCGGCAAAGGATCAATAAAAACAATAAGCAATGCAAGGGGTCAAAAACCATGTCAAGACAAGCGGGAAAAACCGCTTTGTAATGCTTAAAGATAAACAAGACTCAGCAAAGTCTGTGAAAGTGAGTGGTATAGTCCATGTAATCAGTGATCATGAGTTTTAGCTGTGTGTGTGGTAGAATAGCCCAGATTATTGTCAGCTGTGGGAGGAAAATATCAGTGCAAGGAGTTCAGGGAGATATAGAGTTTAGCAGGAATACAGGAAGTAATCTCCAGCGGTAAAAACACCACTGGCAATCACAACCCTAATAATATTGCCCTTAAAAAGTTTTATTTCAGTTAGAATAAAACCAAATAATAATCTCCACAAGAAAAATGATTATAGGAAATACAGTTAAAAGTTCCTCGCTCTGTTAAAAATCATTAGGAAATATTTGAAAAAGAAAAAAAATTACAGGAGGGCTAATAATTTTGACTTCAACTGTAGTTACTTATTAAAAACATCAGTTTAATGAAATATACAAGCAGCTTTGAAATCTGTGCTTTTTGCTATGGTCATGTCTATTTTACGCTGTATGGCAAAACTAGTGAAGTTATGTTTAGCACAGGTGTTGTTTTTCTCTTAAATTGAAACAGGCCATTGTAAAAACCCCCATAGGAAAATTCCAAGGAAACTCATGGCCAATTATTCTTCCGGCATCCGATGTAATTTCTGCTGCACTCTATAACCGTGTGTTCACACTGTCACAGGCGAGAGTAACAAAGATTTTGGAAGTCATTCAAATTCAATCTAAGTTGGCGGCAAGCACTGGCAAGCAATGGTGTTGTATATCTTGGGCAATGTGAGCATCATGCAGAGTTGAAATTAGGTCAACTTTATGATGCCTTTTAGCAACAACCAATCAGAATGTATGTAGAAGACCGCCGCTTGAGGTGATTTCAGAAAATGCAGTCCTGTAAACTTTTTACACAGCACCAACTAATGCCTCAGGACACTGTTATACCCTGCCATGCCTTGGAGTACCAATCACTTTATTTTCTAATAAATTACATTATATCCTAAACAATTGTTAAAGGTCCCATAAAATTAAAATGAAGAGTTTTAGAAGTTAGTATCAATCTAGTTTTTAGTAGATCTATAAGCTAGTGTGCTCCAAAACAGTGATAAAATTTGTGTTTTAAAGATATAAAACTGACATACATAAGTAAGGTTTGTAGTTTTTCACTTCCACTTAAATGGATCAATGTTTTTTTCTTAAAAAGTATTACACGCTGATAAAACAATGTAGAGAAATTTAAGATCCTAATAAGTATTAAAAAGTCTCCAATGCTATTTTGCAAGGTATTCAATTTTATATCATTTTTGATTGTGGTTGAACGCTATAGTTTGCCTGAATTAAATCTGTGAATATCAGGATGCTGTGTAGTTTATGAAATCAATAAAATCCTACTAGATTTGACATCATGCTGGTTTGTTTATGGCAGTAACCAAGGCAACATAATTATTTCTGCAATTCTTTAGGCGTCAACTTGCTGAATTAGCTAGATTTAATAGGTTTTTATTCAGTACACGAATAATGTTTTAGCTTTGGATTTATTTCTTACATTAATGTTTAGTAAATAAACTATACGTTGAAATCTCACCAGTGTTTCCAGTTGAAACCTAAAGTAATTATAAAGTCTTAATGTATGGAATAAGTCTTAAAAAAGGTCTTAAAAGGTATTGAATTTCACTCACTGATTCCTGTACATACTCTGTAGTACCTGACATGCCCCGTCCCCTTCAAGACGCTTCTCATTTGATGCGCTTGAGCTCAACCACTCTCACTGGCAAAGCAGTGATAAAGCAAAATACTATTAGTTCTTTAAAAAAGGGACAGGCTACACTATGTCCCACTCTCTCTTAATGTTTGGTTAAGAATATGTTAAACATCGAATAAAAATGCACTTCATGGGACCTTTACCAAATTTCATTGTATACATATTGTGCACTTCTTAGTAGAAAGTCTGTTTCATATGAGAGCTATAATAATGTTGCGTTTCTCTTTACATTAGCTCTGTTGTTTTAAACACTTTTGCTTGGTCTAGATGTGTAAATTGCATTGAAGTTGCATCACCAAAATAAAGTTACAATCTCTTAAAACGACCTTTAAATAACTGCATCCGAGTTTAATAGTGGCCTTTAGTTGAACAGTGGATACATTTTATTTCACTGCGATGCTCCACTAATGGTTGACATTCATAAACCCTAATATTATTTGTAGTCATGCTTAATAATTTACACACTTCTGCTGTTAAGCCTTTTTAGCCTTTCAGAGTGAATGTTTATACAATCCTCACCTATGAAGTCTAATCCAGTGAATCATTTTTAACAGAGTAGATTTAGTCAAACTACCAACCACATAAAATCAGATTTGTCCCTTGAGGAGTTCTGCAGAGGAAGTAGTGCTTACATACAGGTTTTGTGGAGTTTACTTGATTGTGAATTTATCTCAGCGGGCGAGAAGTGTTTTGTAACTACGTAAGAGTTTGTAGAAGAGTGTGAGTGTGTGTGATTTGATATGTATTTCCGTGTGGTAGGTCTTTCTGGATGTTGTTTTTCAGCTTGTTGCTTCCTGTCTGCTTCAGATTGGTCTCGAAGGAGCTAAGATGGCCGTTCACAGCAGGAGTTTCTGACATAGATTAACTGCTGGCAGGAAACTGATTAAATTAGTCCAATTAGGGCGATAACAAGCAAGGCCCACTCATTTAAAAGGCAGCGACAGATCACTGAACTCCCAGGAACTTCATGGGCTCTTGATACTAGTTTGTGTGTGTGTTTTTGTGTATTTTTTAAAGCAACTTAAGAAACAAGGTTGTTAAATGAAAGGGTTAAGGCAAATTACACACAAAATAACAACCCTACTTCCGCAGTTGATGAGCTGTTGTATAAATATGCTATAACGAAGCACTATTTAGTTAAAACAGCCAGTAATTTGCATAAGTCTAGCACAAAAATATGAGCACATGATTTACATTTAGTCATTTAGCAGATGCTTTAGTAAGTGACTTACAATTGAGGAGGCATTCAGCGATTCAACAAGAAGAGGAAATACACACAAGAAGTAACTTGTTTATGCTCAGAGAATTTAGTGCAAGAGTAAGGCACAATCCCAATTCTACCCCTTAGCCCTTCCCCTTATTAGCCCGTCCCAATTCTCTTTAGCTTGAAGGTGTAGTGCTAAGGGGAAGAGCTAGATACCCCTTAAAATGGAGATTTGTCAGGAGCACACTCGAAACCAAAGGGTAAGAAAACTTCCAAGAATACACTAGCCACAACGGCAGCATGGCTGCACAAGGAGATGCACAAAGTATTTTTTTGTCATTATTACGAATTATTACAGCAAACAAGCATATGTTTTAATACATTCATAATTGCGTTTATGCTTTACCGTCATGCTTTAAAAACAAAACAAAAAAAAAAACGCTAAAATAAAAAATGCTCAATTTCGCCAATCTTTAATAATAACTCCTGTACAGCAGTCCCACAACTTACTGACACTCGATGACACTGAAATACCCTGTCAGAAAAGTCTAGTGGCTAAGATTGACCTTTTTACAGTGTCTGGTATAATGTTACTGATGTTTTTTGTGTGTAGATGAATATGGCCACGGTGTGAATGCACAGTAAAGTACAGTACAGATATTATGCCTTCAGTGTTTTCCTGAAAATTAAGACTAAAGTAAATGCAACTGGAATAACTACAGTGGTCTCCGTCGTCGATCTCATATAAATTTAAGAGATCACGATAACATATGATGATGTGTGCAGGTGTTGTAGTGGTGTCCCATTTCTCAGGGGTCTATTTTGTAGCCCTTCTTCTTTACACTCGGTTTTAAGGGACAAAGGGATGGGGGAAGGGGTAGTGGTACAAAAATAGAATTCAGATTGGGCCTAAGAGCGCTAGAGTTTAGTTTTTTTTAAGAGAGAGAAAGAGAAAGGGCTTTTACAGGTGATTTGTCAACCCCACTCACCTGTGTGAAGCACACTTCATGAATGCAGTTATAGGTGTTTGTGTCAGTTAACGTGTCAACGTGGGTAACGTGAGTGAGGTAGTTTGTTAAGCTCACTGAACATAAACAGAATTTGGGTAAAGGCGCTCTTGGAAAAGATGGAATTTTAGTTATTATAATTAAATAACATAATGAAATGAAGTTCAAAATTACTTGCCGTATTAGAGTAAAACGTTTTTATCGAGGGGATTTGGGAACCTGCTTTTATCACTCCATAATACTGTAAATACTGCAAAAGCTTCACAACATCTTTTAGAATAAAATGTTATATTAATATACTGTATTTAATTAGGCATTTTATGTATGAACCTATCCCTCTGAAAAAATAAATAAATCTGATTACAGATATGAATGAAACTTTAAAGTAAGTGTGCAAGAGAAAGTGGCCTTTAAACGTGTTAAAATGTGGTGCAACTGAAATCAAGTTACAAATTCAAAAGTTTTTTTTGAATACTTTCTTTACATTAGCTAAAAGCTTTTTTGCATGTTAGCCGGCAAATTAGCCATAGTGTATTAATGTATGGGTGTTTTCCAATACTGCGTCGCAGCTGGAAGGACATCCACTGTGTAAAACTTACTGGAATAGTTCATTCCACTGTGGCGACCCCTGATAAATAAGGGAATTAGCTGAAGGAAAATGAATGAATGAATGAACAAATGCAATGTCTTGCCTTATAGATGAAGAAAGTGGTAGTGATGAAGAGAAAACTAGGAATAAATACAACAGGCCTCAGACATCCACACAGACTACAACATGGATTGCCAAATCTCCATATATATTAGTTTTTCTTTAATAAGCGCACACTTGTGAGATATAATCGCACACTCACATTGCGCTAGAGCTGTAGGGCATTAGCAGTCATCGCAACATCTGGTAATTGTGCTTTCTAGATGTCCGGAGAGTAATGAAACATTACGCACCCACTCTCTGGGGTATGAATGGACTACTTTCAATTTGAAATTCAGTTTTTGAACTGTTCGCTCCTTAGGGACGTTGTTGTCCTGTGTTTGCTCTCCTGTGGAGTTCGAAATGTTTCTGTTGTAGATGGCTGATGTTGGGGTGACTTTCACCTTCTTTCACCAGGGTTTAAGGGCAAGAGTTTCATGGTATTTAGACATGTTTTGCTTTTCTTGGAAAATATATATATATAATATATAATAATATAAAAATATAAAAATATAAAATATAAAAATATATATATATATATATATATATATATATATATACACACTTAATGTTTTAATAAAAATTATATATATATATATATATATATATATATATATATATATATATATATATATATATATATATATATATATATATATATGTAATTTTTTATTGTTTTATTTTTTTTCCCTAAAAAAATAATAGGACGCATTTAAGATATACAAAACTGGAAAGAAACAAAACTGTCTGAATTTTTTATTTTTATTTTAGTATTACAGACACTATTAAGAATTCTAATAATAGGTTTAATTACACTTTTTTAACTGTATAAGTACAGAAATGTTATTGTTACTATTTTTTACTATTACTAATTTTACTGTGACAATTTTTTTACAACATTTTATTAAAATCATACATTTTTGCTTGACCACTGACTTATTTGTCTTTTTTTAAAATGTACTTCATTTCCTTTAGGATTTATTTTAGGTAAGAAAAATGTAAATAACTATCTCTACAGTGTGAAATAAAAAAAAATAAAAAAGCAGTCTTTTACAAAGCCCAATATCAATTTCTTCTCAATTTCAAATGTAAGTTTTTTTTACATTTTAAATCGCTTTATACAAATATGACTCATCTTGCACTGCAAGTACTATCCAATCAAATGCTCTCTAGAATTAAACGTCTCCATCTATTTTTTGCCAGCTGTTAAACAATAAAACAAATTTTAAAGGTGCAGTTCATTTCCGAATGGTGGAACTAGGTATCGCATTCCGGGATCAAAACAAACGCAAGCGCAGATTGCCAGTATGAGGACAGGAACAAGTAATTTAAGTCGTGTACCAAATAATAAAAGTGTGCTTTTTTCAGGGTTAAATGCTAACAATGTGAGTTTGAATGCCATTTTACGGGACATTTATTGCCATATACTGAAATCAGCAGTAGATATATCACCTTATCTTGAAAATAAAATAAATTTGAAATTGAACTTTAGAACTAAACACATGTCAGTGATTCAGCATGTTCATATAATAATGTTAAAGGGTTAATATGCATTAATTAGAGTATAAACCTTACCATTTCATGAGTGAGTGCATATTCTGTGCTTTTGAATGGCTGTATTTAAATTTCTGACGTGTCTGGTGCAAACAGCCAAATTGCTTATCATTGCAAATCTCATCACGCAGTGTGTTGTTAGGACACGGGGTTACAGGTTTACCTGCTCACCTAATGTTTACATTCATAATATTGATATCATTTGCTAATTAATATCCTCATCTGGAACTGAATCTGTCTCATTTCGGAGTCTGCTACTGTCCACCGGAGGTCGCATTTTGGTCTCGGATGCATGCTTTGAAAGCCTTTCTGAATGATGAATGAAATTTGCAGTTTTCCACCAAAGCAACTCGGGCTGCTGAAATATAATTGGCAAAACAAAGACAGCGTTCCGGCACGGAAAACACATTTTCAAAGCAGAATATCTGACTTCAGCACTGTTTTTCAGATAAACAAGAATTTTCACTCAGCATGTTTCCTAAATATCTGCAAACATATTATGGTATTTTTATGCTTTGGAAGAGTCAAAAACTTACATACATCACCTTTAAGCCAATCAGAATGCACACAAATGTAAAAAGCTTCGAGTATTTCAAGTGGTACTTATAACTGCCACTCTCACAATAAACAGAACTGCATCTACTGGTAAAGCTGACAATATAGTAATAACTCTTGACGCCAATGGGTTTCAATGCAACCTGCTATGTGTTTTACAGGCCAGCGAGGACCGTGTCCACTTCATCGTGTCCCGCCAGACTCACATTCCAGCTCCGGACATCCTACAGGAGGCACCATGGAACATGGAGGGACCACCGCCCTACTCGCCTGTGGACATCGAGCACACTTTACTGGTGGGTTTCACACACTCTTTACTGCCAGTCCCTCTGCACCATTTTACTAAACATTCTCTTATTGAGAAGAAAGATCTGAAAGCCTATTACTTCTACATCAAAGAATCGAGCAATCAGCCAGTTTTCTCACTCTCTCTCACACACACACACACACATACACTCCTCTGAGGCAGCCGTTTCCAAACCTATTAACAGAAGAAAGCCCATAAGGAGGAAAACACAGCCTCGGCAGGGTAGATTTCAGTGCGTCTTATAAACAGGATTTTCTGCTGCTCAATATCTGTTCTGACATCCTCCCTTGTTCTAATAAAACTCAAGCTCATCGTTGGTAATTTCTCTGGCTTCTTTGCTGTGACGAAATAAAGCATCTCAGAGCAGCCTGTTGTGAGGGTTTAGTGGTCTTTGGTGGTTTAAAGGTCAAAGTGTGTTTACATTTACTGATATTTACTGACTTTTCATGGATGAAATATGCTTTCATGAGTCCTTTCAAAAGAAATACATGCAGGTTTTTTGCATGAGGGTGAAAGTTTTTCATGTGGATTTCACATCAGGTTCAAGATGCATATGTAGTATTGTCATTTTGACCAATAGAAAGCTGTTTGGCTATAAAGTGAACTCTGTTTAAGCTGTGGTTCATGCAATAAACAGTGGAATACTATGGCATGTAAATTTTACACCAATTTGCACTCAATTGACCACATATTATGTAGGCAAAGGAACCTAAAAGGATGTAAAATCTAGTTTAAACATCTACGGTAAATATTTACTTGAAGGGGTGTTCATAAGACTACCGTTAATCCTTTATTCAATTCAATTCAGTTCATTTCATCTTTCTTTCTATAGCGCTTTTACAATGTACATTGTATCAAAGCAGCTTAACATAGAAGTTCTAATAAACTGAAACTGCCAGTCCAGTTTTCAATCACAGTCAAGTTAAATTTAGTTCAGTTCAGTGTGTTTTAATTTTCACTGCTGAAAATCCAAACACTGAAGAGCAAATCCATCGATGCACAGCTTCACAAGTCTCAAACTCGTAATCATGACAAAACACATGTTGAGTATATGAAAGAGATTTTATGCCTGCTTACTAATTGCTGCTGCTATAAAAAGTCTTTTTCTCAGTAATGTAATTTTAATAAATAAATAAAAAACAATTTAGATGGTTTTGTAATGACAACTTGGCATAAACAAATAAAGCATAACCTGTCTTTGTCATAAATCTGTCATAAACATAATTATCATGGGATCCTGATTGTCATGCAATGATTATAAAGGTTCTATAAAAGTCTTATGAACAGCCTCTTCAAGTAGGAGTTATCGTCGTTTTTTTAAACCCAAACGCTTACCACCCTAATAAGTATTTTTAAAAACGATTTATTTGATAATGAAAACATTTGCTGCATTAATTCATATAAATGGTTTATGCAAAACCATCTTAAATATTATTAATAATTAAAATAATAGACCACCTCTGTAATGGTCTGTACCATTGTGAATGCATGTTTGCGGAAAAAAATATTAATTCAGCAATTTGAAATTGACAAATCTAGAGCACCAACAGAAAAAAGGCATTTGCACTGTAGATATCTGTAAAACTAGATGCATAGTTTGTATTTTATTATTCACTTACTTGCACATGGTAGTTACACAGTAAAATATAAATTACGTCCAGTTATTCATGGTCATCGATTAATAGGTTTATTTAATATCACGAAAGTCCATGAGAACCTCTCAATATTTCTCAAAACACTGAAAGCATAATAACAAGTTTGATGAATAAATTAGATGTATTTGAAATAAAATTTAGTTCACTGAAGCATTTTACCGAATAAAATCGGAAAACTTGACCCCCCAACCCCTGATTGTCGATGCATAATTCGTACCCTGCTTCAGGCCATACAAAATGTAGATTTTTTTTTCAGTGAAATAGTTTAGAATATTTAACAGTACATTTTATTTATATCTGACATTTAGTTTATACTGTAATTTTGCTTCATAAGTGTGTATTGTCACCAGCCTCAGCTAACAATTTAGTTTCAGCACTGTGTATTTTTTTGAATCTCAAAGTGCCAGTATAGCATTTGTATTACATTTTATGAAATGCCAAGGCTTTACAGTTTCAGAAAAAAAAAAAAAAAAAAAAAAAAACACCTTCTCACCTACATTTTGGCCTGAGGGTAAATCACCAGTACATTTTTATTTTTGAATAAAATATCTCCTTAAAACAACTACAGAAACAAGAACAAAACTATCATTATCAGTGTTCTATTTCCCCTGCTTACAGACACTTTATATCCTTTCAGTAACTCCTATTATTTCTCTTTTACACACTTGGAAAGGTGGAAACATTCTGGCAACATACTGTCAGAGGCTTTTCACTCCTCTGAATTAGACACAGCCTAACACACACGCACACACACACACACACACACACAGTCCAGCGATAAGCCTGACACACTAACTCCACATCTGATTTGATGTAGCCGGAGGCTCAGACTAAATATAAACAGCCCTTTTATTGAACTTTAATAACGCTTTTTATTAAGTTAGAACTGAGCGACTGTGTTTGTTGTTTTTGGAAGCTATCCAAGGTACAATTTGGCCGCGGTCAGCAATATCACAGCGTCCTGCAAGCTCACCATTTATTACAAACACAAGCTTTGGGCAGTCATGTGTTCAGATGCTATTCTAATTCGCCAGCGAGAATCCAAACAGCAGACAGCCAAACGTCATAAACTTTCTCAAAACTTGAACCAATTACAAGGCTAGCCCACTCTAAAATGCCAATTCTGTACTCACATTTACACAAAAGATATGAAAAATGTTGAAAACCGCTACCTCAGGACTTCCACTGTCATTTTCTCCCTACTATAGTAAATGAATATTAACTTTAAACATTTTTCAAAATATCTTTTGTATTCAACAATAAAATAAACTTATTAATACATAGGTCTCAAACTTGATTCCTGGAGGGCCGTGGCTCTGCACAGTTTCGCTCCAACTCTAATCAAACACAGCTGATCCAATTAAACAAGGTGTTCAAGTTTAAACCGTGCAGAGCTACGGCCCTCAGCAATTGAGTTTGAGACTATTGTTAAAAAGGTTCAGAAGCACTTGAAGGTGAGTGAATTGAATTTTTTTGAGTGAACCATTAACTTTAAAATCTATCATTTCCCTTAATTCTAGGATTCGTGCCAAAAGCCAGCGTGTTACGAGAAGACGGTGACTCTGTTAAAGGAGCCGCATGATTCACTCGGTATGACGGTTGCCGGTGGGATGAGCAGCAGAGGTTGGGATTTACCCGTCTATGTCACGAATGTCGACCCCAATGGAGTGGTGGGACAGGAGGGTTCCATCCGCAAAGGTACGGCCTCATAAACCTATTCAGACACATCCGACAAAGCCATACACACCTGTTTCCAAGGTGCCCCTCTGATCTTTCTTGCTTTTGAATCCACGAGCACAGATAAACAAAGACACACCTGCTCCTGCATATGTATGACTCTCATCGCTTTTGCAAATTTATGCATATAAAACTAGAAAGTGACACACTCCTACTCGTACACCTGCCATACTGCTATATTTGCTATATTGTACTCACAGTTTTGAGCTGGTTTAGCGGATGGAAGTTATTTCAGGTTTATTTTTGTCTTATGTGACATGTATAGTAGTGTGTGAAGGTGTGATCAGGCACAGGCTGGTGTATGTAGATAGATGTGTGACACCGTGAAGACATTTACAGTGGTATTTATTTAAAATAGAAAACATTCTATACATTAAAAAGTCAGAAAAAAAAATTAAACATTCGACTTATGACTAAAAACAAAAATCTACAAATATCTATAACATTACAGATAGATTAAGTTCCTTAAATATCAACTCTGGGACAAAAGTTTCCATTTTTAATGTAAAAGTTCATTTCTGACACGCACAGAAAACAGAAATAAAATATGAAACATCTTGTGTGTCTATGACAGTGTTTAGACTAAACTCCTGCTGTATTACCTCATTTAAATGGTGGTCTGGTGGTGAAACAGTGCCTCTTCAGTCTGATTTTAAAGAGATAACTAGCAGGAGTGACAAAACTAGCATATCTTGACCTCCTCTAGACCTTCCATAAATTCTATCATCGGGTGAGCTCTAGTGTTTTGATGAAATGAGATACTGTAGAGTGTGTGTCTGTGTGTGTCCTGTTTTCACTGTATTTCAGTATGAGCCTCTGTCTCTCATTTCTCAGTCCCTGTCACAAATCTCTCATGTCCTTCTACTTCCATTTCCATCTTTTGTCCAAACTATATTTGTCATCCTCGATCTATATTAGCAGTTTAAATAAATATATAATACAATGGTCACATGCAGTACATAATCAGTGACCTTCACATTTACATTAAGGACTGAATCCACAAACTTATTTTTTATGTTGTGTATGAAATGACTCCAGAAATTGTGACAACTTGTACTTTAGTAACCATATTGCTTTAACATATATTTAACACAATATTTTTGATTAACTTTACTGAAATCAAAGACACAACAGCATTTTGAACTAACAGCAGTCAACAGTGTTGTATTTTGTCCATGCTTTTTTATGCATTTCACAGAGCATGCTTTTCAAATATTGCCATGTCTAATTATTATAAGCATATCTGGGCATGGCTCATAAAGTCATATGGAGTTGATGAAGGAGGCAGCTAAATAGAAGATTTAATTTGTTGTGTTTTAAAAATCAGATTTATTCCACCAAGTACTGGTTTCTTAACCTTATGTTAAAATATTGTGTTGTCTAAAAAAAGGCTTTAAACCTGTCAGAAAACATGCCAATTTGCTATTTTAAAAGGAGGGAAATCTAAATGATATTTTAGTTTTACATTTGGAAGAAATTTCATTAGTAGATTTACAGAATTAAAAAAAGTCTGATTTTACTCAAACAATTGATAAACTGAGAATCTTACTGTGGTCTTTGAACTATTTTCATTCATTCTTTCATTTTCTTTTCGCCAACTTATCCACCATATTTTTTATGCAGCGGATGCCCTTTCAGCTACAACCCATCACTGGGAAATGAACTATTTTCTTCTATAGCTATATAAATAGTAAACATTTAAAGTGGATCAAGACGTTTGACAGAAATAGGTGTTAAAATGGTTTCAGGACAACTTTGATAAAGAGTTTTGATCAAATGTTGACTGCTGTATTTATAGAAAATATAATAATTGAATGTTAGCATTTATGTCAGAACACACTTTATTAACCTATTACAAAAATATGGAATAAAAGTAGAAATAGTATTGGAAGACTATACATACTTTTGACAAAATAGAAAACAGATAAGTGACATTTAGAAATGTTATCAATTTTTTTAGAAAGCACTGAAAAGGAGCACTGCTAGGATAAGTTCCAGTTGATCTGATGCACCACATGTGGTTTACAGAATAGAAAGGTGAAATAAAAGAATAGAGAGTGTAAAAACAGAATACACTAGAATTATTAGGTGTTTGGGGGGGGGGGGTCTTCAGCTGTTTCGTGAAAATTACTAAACTACAAGTGTATAGAACAGAATTAAGCACTAAAGAATTAACTGAAATGAAATGCAATAGCTATTATAAATTACCCATAAAATGACCCATTTAGTCTTAATAAACCTCTATAACCATGTTGTGCATGACTCTAGCATGCACATTATTCTATTAAATTTGCATAGCAATATTTTAGGTTGTTTCAAATAATGAAAAACTGTCTCCAATCAACAAAACCTCACCAACAACCATACTCTTCCAGTCTTGTGATTCACATAGTAAAAATGATTATTCCATCTTTTAGGTGACATCCTCCTGAATGTGAATGGAGTCGACCTGACAGGTGTGACCCGGAGCGAGGCTGTGGCCAACCTCAAGAACACCTCATCCCCGGTGGTCCTGCAGGTGCTGGAAATGAGACCCCCTAACGAGAGCTCGCTGGACTGCATGCCACCCCTGCACTCGCCCTGCGCCCTCTCACCCTCCTCACCCGGAGATGTCAAACTTCCCCCGCCCAATGATGACTACGCCCCACTCTGGGTGTCCTGGCTACAGCTGCCCAGGTACAATGTGCAGAATAACACATAAATAAAACTGTTTGTGGGTTTCTCTTTATCAGATTTATCACAATTATATATTGGACAAAGCAGATTTGAAAACAGTTAAGGATTCCTACAGTGCAAATAAGTGAGGACTTCAGCAAAGATTTCAGGGAATTTAGCAAAGATTAATGTAAAAGTGACAACATGCTAAATTGAATTAAATTTAATTAATAATTAAATTAATAATTAAGTTAAATTAAATTATATACACTACAGGTCATGTTTATTTCATTTTAAAAAGTAATTAATTAATTAATTAATTAATACAAACAAAAATAAGCAAGCAAGCCAAGACTGATTTTTAAAGACTTTTTAATTGAAATAATTTATTATATATATTTTAATGAACATCTAATATTAAGTACAGTAATAAACTGGAAAAAAACATTTATATAAAATAAAGTGACACTGAAAAGTAAAGCCAGGGCTACAAACATTGTTTTGATCAAACATTTATTATTATTATTATTATTATTATTATTATTATTAATATTATTTATTTGCCCAAATCCTAATATATAGTTTTGTTTTCTTCTTTCTCATTTTCCTCCCTCTCATTCAAAGCTTTTTTCCTCTGCCGGTATTTAATAAATCCGTGGGAATTTGAAAGGAGTGTGAAAGTTCTTAACAACTTCCTAAATTACTTCATAATGCATAACAATTCAGAAAGTGGTATGCAGTGAAGAAAAAGTGAGAGCAGGGTTGAGGAAAGCCCTTCTCACCCTCAGTCTGTAACGGGTTTACACAGTGAAAGTGTGACGGCTTTAAATAGACCTTTCACAGCCTCTCTTTCAATTTATTTCTTCTAGTTCTGTGTTTATCTTTTGTCTATTACATTTTGATTATTCATTTCTACATTATTTTATTTCACAGAAATCCAATCTAAATCTGAGGTCTCAGTCTCATGTGGTCAAAATCTGGCCTTTAATATTTTAATATTCATAACAGTAGCTAAAAATGATATCTCTGTAAAATAAGGCACAAATTGTTTATAAATTATTAATATAAATGAATTATTCTCCATGTATCTCATTTACTGTTCTGTCTTTAAAGGTCTAAACAGACAGATCACCTTCATTTAGATCTATGTAACATAAAAAAAAAATAAAATAAAAATCTGCCACCATTTCAAAAGTGACGCAATGAAATGCAATTCCTTTAAGGGCTTTTCTATTGTATGCTTTGACCTCCTGCTGCATAATTTATTGTCCTCTGTATATCTGCCGAATGACAATAAAATTAACCTTGAATTTTCTGTCCATTCCAGGCATCTCTATTGCTGTAAAGACATTGTCCTCCGCAGGAGCACGTCTGGCAGTCTGGGTTTCAGCATTGTTGGTGGACAAGAAGAACTCAATTGTAACCAGTCCTTCTTTATTCGCTCAATTGTAGAGGGAACACCAGCCTACAACGATGGCAGGATACGGTACGAACAAGACAGTGTCTACTTTCAACAGAAAGCATGCTTTATGTACAACTACAATTCCAAAAAGTTCCATTCCAACAAAAATCACGGAAACCCATATGATTGGTTAAAGCAACAGTTCACTTTTTTTCTAGAAACTAGAGTTAAACTTTGGAGTTTTCCCAATATTTTTTAATCCAACCGGTCAATCTCCTGATATGGCGGAAGAACTTTTAGCTTAGATTAGCGTAGATCACTGAATCGGACTGACTATTAGCATGTCACTCAAAAAAGAAAAAAAGTTTCAATAATTTGCCTATATTCAAAGCCTGACACTTATGTAGTTATATCTTGTACTAAGACTGATGATTAGGGAAAAGTTGCTATTCTATATAGTTCTGTACTCTCATTCTGGCATAATAATCAAGGAACTTTGCTGTTATGCAATGATATTACACCCCATTCACACGTGCGTTAGCGTCAATGCTTCACATTCACTTCGAATGGGTAACGTCAAGCATTGCCGAACTCAATTGTGGATCCGTAAGTGTCGCTTCAGCAGCGCTGCTCACTGCAAAAGTAAATTCTTAAGTGCCAACGGAAGCATCAGCCAATTAGATCACTTTATGCAAATACCCTAGCTCTGACAATAGGCGATTGCGGGCTAATTTCATTGGCTGATGCTGCTATGATGATCGCATCAGACCCAACTTCAAACACGGCCTCCATCAAGTGTTGACGCTGAAGCCCCATGTGAATCGGGCAAAAGACAGTATCTGAAAATAGTCCCCAGCTAGGTAACTAGGTAACAGAGCTGCATCATATATATAATATCATGAATACAGCACAGTCAAATTATACTTGAAAATAATTATTATTGTCATGTACAGAAACATCAGTGCGATTTTACAAACCATAAATGTTGTTTTGCAAGTATTTATGTCTATTTAAATGTCTAAAATCTAAGATAATTCATCTATTTGTAAATCTCTGATTATAGTTAATACAACTTGGATATTATATTTATAGTATATTAATCTATAAAAAATTGCACTTATAACTGTTTTTGCACTCCTGGTTAGACCTAATCTGTGTTTCCTTTTACTTGTACATGTGTAATGACAATAAAGTTAAATGTAATCTAATAAAAATTATTTGTTTAAAAACACTAATAAATCACTGATAATTTGTGATTTATAACAAGCGACGCACAAGTCTTTCTATGGCTCAGCGTGAGCCATCGCGGGAAAGCAGACTTGAATTTAGCAGCTGATTACGGGAGGCACTGAATGTTCTAATCACACCGGTGTGATCGTATGTTCCAGGGACCAGCCAAGACTGATCATACATGTAAAAGTGTTAATAAAAGATATATATATATATATATATATATATATATATATATATATATATATATATATATATATATATATATATATATATATATATATATATATTGGAATTGGAGTTGTAAACCTCAAATAAATAACTGCCTAGTGCAATATTTTCATATTTACACTCATTCCTGCTCCAAAATACTAAATTTTTTTTTTTTTTCTAACCAGCTGTGGTGACATCCTGCTGGAGGTGAATGGGAAGAGTACCTGGGGAATGACACACACGGCTCTGGTCCGCCTGCTCAAGGAGCTGAGGGGTCGGATCACTCTCACCATTGTTTCCTGGCCTGGCAGCTTGCTATAGGACTACTCTGCATGGGGGAGGGGCTTATCACACTAACCCCACACTAGGGGGGAGAAGCTTACACAACAGACGTTAGAAATGACAACAAAAATGGTGGATTTCAGAGTCTGGACATTCCTAAAAGATGCGGCTTGTAACAAAGACTGCACTTCGGGAGCAGGAAATGACACATGGACCTCATGCAAGTACTAAGACTTTAATTGCGAAGGCGGAGCTAAGGACTTTGAATCTGCCCACCAAGAAGCACGTTTATCAGACTCCAAACCAAGGAGGCACTTACACAGCCGTCAAGGCATAAGGATGATATTTGTGCATGAGAGGAACATTGTGTCGGTTATAGGCAGAAAGCGGAGCAGTACTAAAGGACTGAAATCACTAATTCAGGAGTGAGTTTGTCAATAAACGAGTCGGAAATACAGTAGATGTATAGACATTATGGGCACTGTGCTATATGTAGTCAGATTGTGAGACTCTAATGTTGTTCGTAGAGGACGTTTGAGATGTTGCACATGAGACGGGTATCCTTCGAACAGGAGGGATCACCGGGATGTATCAAGATGGGCTGGGGGACACACGTTGCCAATTCCATTAGTTTTACATGTTAGAAAAATGCATCGAAGTGGACGCACATTCTTTACTATAAACGTCGATGTCTGAAAAAAAGAAAACAAAACAGATTCAAGCACTTGTACTTTGACTACTATTACTTTTGGTTCATTTCTTTCTCCGTTTCTATGGCTTTCGGATATCGGCTTCGTTTTGTTCGTTCTGACAGTGGTTCGTTTTCTCCATCCACCGGCATGGAGACACATTTGCCAAGTAGTTCTATCTATGTTGGTATGTTTCAGATGAAAATAAACTATAGTGAGTAATAAAAAAGTGTAATAAAATAAATAAAAATCGCAACTGAAAAAAAGCAATGTTAATAATCTATTTTAAAAATGGATGATAACTTATAATGCTTATAATGATGTGAGATTTTGGCGGCCTTGCTGACTTTTTTTGTTTACTCTGGATGAGAACTGGAGAGAGTGATGTGTGAAAGGCTCACTGTGTGAGTGCGTGTATGAGTGTGCGTGTATGTATCATCTGTGGGAAAGGTGTGTGTGCTCTGGCATCTCATGCTTTGGCTTGTGCAGTATATTGTATCTGTTGGTACCTTTGGTTCAATGATCAATAAAGTCATTCTACAAGGAGACCTGTGTGATTGGGTGTTCTTAGCATGCAGAACATTTACACCACAAATATGTATTAAAAACAGAAATTTTGACAAAATTACCAAAAGTATCATATCCACTACACATCCCAGGCCAGTATTTGGTGCTGTGTTATAACCCTGCTTCGACACACATTCTGTAATTTTCAAATAAGCCTGAAGAGTTGAATTAGCTTGATCTGAAGTGTTTAATTACAGTTGAAGCCAAATTGTGCAGGGCTGTGGACTTTGAAGACTGGAGTTAGACATGTGTTGTAAACCAACACTATGCACCTGCGCATAAACAGTCATTTAGACTGCCATTGTTGTTTTAGTAGTCAAGTACTTGCAGATGCCAAGAAACTGAACATGTATAATGCAATAATACAATAGAATGGCACTGTTTTTCACGGTTTCGATATGCATTTTAAACTCCCCAAAACATGGTTGCTTAATAAATAAATAGCCAAAATTCACTTGAAAACAAGGTTATGTAAAAAAGGTCGTCCTTCTTAGCACCAGACATACTAGACTTTGAGCACAAATTTATAATGCATACTGCATTAGTCTCACAGTTGTCAACTGTAATTGGTCAGGGAGGAAAATTGGCTTGTTTTCATTCCTTCTGGGCAGGTTTTGCGTCAGCCTTGGACCTGGCAACCCTGACTGTGTGTGTGAACTCTACTATTCAAAAGTTTAGAGTCAAAACTATTTTATATATATATATATATATATATATATATATATATACTTGAATGTCTCTAACTCATCAAGACTGCTTTTACTTAATCTAAAAATTAAATAATATTACTATTATTATTATTTTAAATTTGACTACATTTTAAAATGTCATTATTAAGCTGATAGAAAAGCTGAACTGTTACTGGCAATTGCTTCAACTGTGCTGCTTGTTATTAAAATTTAATATAATAAATCTACTATTCGTAAGTTTAGAGTTAAAAATGTTTTTTTAAATGTCTGAATGTCTAACTCATCAATACTGCTTTTCTTTAATCTAAAGATTTTAAATTATTATATATATTTTTATTTTACTATATTTAAAATGTAATTTATTCAACTGATAGAAAAGCTGATCTTTCACTGATGATTGCTTCAAATCCTATCAATATTAAACTCTGAAATGGATGTAAATGGCAAATGTGGATGAGCGGGCTGACCTTATCTGAAGGTCACTACAGTTTCTTCCATTCTCAACACTAAATCATGCTGCACACACAGTAACATTTCTTAATCATGTTTATAATCCTTTTTTGCTTCAACAAAATGAACATTTGGCACAAAAAATACCATTCAGCATTATAATCAAAACAATTATAAGTTTAAATAAATTTAAATAATGAATAAATACATTTCTAAATTAAAAATAGTGTACCCTTCAGACTGCTTTTTATTCAGGAATAATACTTTCAAGAAAATTAATGCTAAAACAATAACATAAATTGTCTCATCTTATTAAGGGTTTTGGCATATGATTAATCAAAATCTATTCACAGTTGGTCACTGACTAATGATCTTTCACTACAGACCACCTATTGGTCAACAAAGGGTCTCACCAGCTGGCCAGGGACTCATTCAGTGGCCTCCGACTGGTTCTCCTGGTCGGCGCTGCACTCCTCGCTGGGCTCGAGGTTTCCTCTGCTGTGTCTGGAGCGTTTGTGTCGGTGTCTCCTGTGGCTTTCTGCGTCATCACTATCATGACGCCTCCTACTGCTGCTACTAATGAGAGAAACCAAGAGAAGAAGGTCACATCATCTATATATATATCATCATCTTTAATGCTTATGTAAGATGGTTTGGTCCATGCTCTGGTGAACATCACCTTTGGGAGCCTTTTATGTGTGTGCGTCATTCTGCTGTGTTTGATGTGGGGTTTAATTGTACGCTGACGTATCAAACACATTTATTTGTTACAATTGTAATTTGGTGCGTCAAGCTAAATGTGCAACCCTCCTCGCTCGTGTATACATCTGAGGTGAGTGTATTGATCTTGATCTTTAATGTACAAGCAGGCAGAGCCATTGGAACCTTATTGGCTCCTTAGGTTTATTGCACACTGAATCTGAAATGTTCGCACGATAAAGAATGAATTTGACCTCATGTTGTGTCAGTAGTATTGACACACTGCCTCTGAAACTTTCATCCATCATTAAAAAAAAAATCAAACCGGGTTAAATTTTTTCTGCTGAAAAAGCACTTTGAAAAGGTGTTTTGACAGTTCAGAGCCACCGTACAAGTCAAAAGCTGAATACAGAATGCCGTCTTTTGAGCTACAGATAACCTTATGACAAACACAGTGCATAAAATAACAGCCTGATTTCACGAGGAAAAGTAATTATTTTACATTTTGTCAGTTTAGTGGCTAATTTGTACGAGTTCAGTCGTACGAAAATGTACGATTTTAAAAAGGAGGCGTGGCACCTAACCTCTGCCCTAACCCCAACCGTCATTGGGTGATGAGCAAATCGTATTAAATGGTTCGAATTAGATCTACGAATTCATACGAATTAGCCCCTGAGTCAAAAAGTTACGAATTGCCATAAGATTGCATTGAAAATAACGATAAATTGTGGCTGATAGTTGAGAACCCCTATATGCTGGATTCAGTGGCTGGCGCACCTCTGCCCTGTAGATGTTTGGTGTGTGTCCAAACATTTGACGCAATGCCTATAGACATTATAATAGTAAGCATGGTCCAATTTCGGTCTGTTGCTGTGACACGTTAATGTGGCCACCATCTATTACAATGTCTATAGGTACTACCAGGTTCTGTTCAGGATTTGTTTAAGTTTGTGAATGTGTGAAGTATTACAAACAATGTATCAAAATTCCACTGATTTCCTGAAATAAGCTTTGCAGTTCAGGATAATCCGGCGCAGCTCTTTGATAATGAGTTCTCCCATCTCTCTATGCAGTATTGGATGAGCTATGCACTACTTTGGAGAAGAGAGGAGAACAAATTATCACTGCTTGAATACTTTTTCGTAATAAATTAGTTAATACGCATCAGACTCAGTGTGCAGGGTTTGTTTACATGACAAATTTGTCGCATATTAATTCTATAAAACTGCATATGAACATTTCGAACTTCAGTGTGCACAGACTCCATTGACTTCCATTGATATTTATCCATAAAGCAGCTTTGTATGATTCTTGATTTTGCAAACTGAAAGTAGTATGTATTTTTTATTATTTATAAAATTATAAACAAAATCATTAACAAAATTGTTTGGAGAGCAAGTAGTTTGATTGTTTTTTGCCTATAGTCATTGCCGCATAGGCAAATTAATCAGACAAGCTTTCAAATTGCAGAATAAGATCAATGTGTGTTACCAGGGAGAGAAATTAAATATTTATTTTTTATTAATGATCACTATTTGCACTAATGTATATTACAAATTGCAATGGTTGCAATTAGATAAAAATCTCCAACAAATTTATGACAAATAGCTGAAACTATATACAACATACCATTATACAGAATGCTCTGGTAAAATACACTTTCAAAGTAGATTGTTGTTGATGACTTAAATTGCTGTAGTTCATTTATTTATTATCTTGCTTTTTGTATAGATGACAGCTACAGGCCAGTATGGTGTCAGAAGAAGAATTAAAGCCATAACTAAACAGGATTAAAATAGAATATAATTAAATATGTATGCAGTTAGGTAACATCAAACTGCAGGAACTTTTTCTGTTTCCTCATTTGAAACATTGGGGACATTTTAGTCACCACTGGTGTATTTTTGGTCGTCTATAGCCCCACATCCTGGTACATTTCTGACTCTGCATTACCTGCGTGAGGATCGGTGTTCATTTTGTTCTCGGTGTCTTCTTTCTCGATGTCTATCTCTTGGTCCTTCTCTTCCAGAGCTTTCTCTGTATCTCTCGCTCCCATAATGACTGTGATCTCTGTGTCGAGACGTACGCTCCTCCTCACTGTACACACATATACAAGCACACAAGTATTCAGCTCTTTTCTAAAGCCTAGCTCATTTCCTACAAAATAGCAAGGAAGATTAGATTTAATACAGGACCAAGACAATTTCATTGCACATATTACCTGTGATTTATATATTTTTCAACAGAAATATAATACATAAAATATCTTTAACAAAAAATTAATTTCAACATGGTCGAAAATGGAGCAGGATGAAGCACAAGCTTATTATTTTCCCACCCCATTACCACATACATAATTTGTCTATTAATTAAACTATTTTCTTCTTTTACTTATCTCTTCTTCTTTAAATAGCCATTAACTAAAATTTCATCATACTTTTTCTCATTTTATCATTTTCAATCACCTTCATCATTACATTCCTTTAATGATTTATATTTGTTAAACTTTTAAAATTTTAAGTTAATTAATATCCTGACATTGCTAAGAAAATATTCAGAATTCATATTGAAATATGAAGATTTAAACAATGTTTATCATATAAAGGCAGATTGACTTATTTATAAACAAACACACACACACACACACACACACACACACGCACACACGCACACACGCACATACACACACAATAGCCACTTTACTAAATGCACCGGTTCAACTGCTCGTTAATGCAAACTTCTAATCAGCCAATCACATGGTAGCAACTCAATGCATTTAGGCATTTACATATGGTCAAGAGGATCTGCTGCAGTTCAAACCAAGCTAAAGAATAGGGAAAAAAGGTGATTTAAGTGACTGTGAATGTGACATGGTTGTTGATGCCAGATGGGCTGGTCAGAAACTGCTGATCTACTAGGATTTTCACGCACAACCATCTAATTTTTTTACCAACTGAGCATTGTATCAATGCCACAGCCTATCTGAGTATTGTTGCTGACCATGTCCATCCCTTTATGACCAGTGTACCCATCCTCTGATGGCTACTTCCACCAGGATAACCCACCATGTAATAAAGCGTGAATCATCTCAGACTGGTTTTTGAACATGATAATAAGTTCACTGTACTCAAATGGCCTCCACAGTCACCAGATCTCAATCCAATAGAGCACCTTTGGGATGGGGTGGAATGGGAGATTCACATCATGGATGTGCAGCAGACAAATCTGCAGCAACTGAGAGATGCAATCATGTAACCAGTACCTTGTTGAATCTATGCCAGGAAGGATTAAGGCAGTTCAAAGGGCAAAAGGCAGTCAAAGTCGGTACTAGTAATGTGTACCTAATAAAGTGTCCAGTGAGTGTATATATATATATATATATATATATATATATATATATATATATATATATATATATATATATATATATATATATATACACACACGAATATATGGATGAGTTTTTAAAACTGAATGGCTTCCCTGAGGTAAAAGTAACCTGTTATGTGACATTTAGTTTACAAGCTAATTTATTAACATAATTTTGATTTAGTGATGACATGATATGCAATAGTTTTCAGTATGTTGTCTCATTTCTTTCAACATAACTCATAGTTCATTTGTGAGTTTTATCTTGATGCAACAATAATAAATGACATGCATATCTAACAAGATCTTCTTTATCAGCCATTCTAGATTGTTCAATATGGAAATATGATTGGATGAGGATTTTGTCCTTCAGAATATTATATATATATATACACACATACATACATACATACATACATACATACATACATACATCGTGTATATATATATATATATATATATATATATATATATATATATATATATATATATATATATATATACACACAAAGTATGCAACAATATAACATGGCTTGATTGCTTTCTACTGATTAATCTATTATTGCATAACAGAATGATTCTTGTAGCGCTCAGTAATACAAGATGAAATATGGGTCATTATGATTTTTTCATAAGTCAGAACTCAGGACACTAAAAATAGTTTGGGACGTCTAGTCCCTTACTGTCCAGGAATTTGATAAATGATTGACTTCAGAGGAGATTGACTAAAGAGTGTTGCTAAGCAAATGTACAACATTTAAAATAAAAAATGACCACAATTAAACATTTCACAAACAAATCTATTTTTAATTTCACTGCACATTGATACTTTTCTGTGCTTCATCTACCATCCTGGATTTACTGGAGGAGTCTGCTTTTGCTATGCACATGTACAGTGGACTATGGAAAGCCAAATGGGACAAATTACAAAAATATTATGGTAGTGTGACTGGTAGGGCCGGGCAGATCAATACTAACATCAATAGTATTGATACCAGCATTGGTATTGGTATTGAATTAATACCAGCCTAACAAAATCTATATTTCATTGTAACATTTTTTTGTAATGTACACTAATATGAATTGCTTTCCTTTTATTAAACTACATGTATGTTTCTTAAAATGTAGCTTTTCTCCACATCTTGTTCGCTCAAGTTGCTCCTCTGCAGTGTTCAGTTCTTTCATTAAGTGACGAAGTGGCACTTTTGGCTGTTATGAAAGAGATGTCCGTAAGGAGGAGCATTGTATGGAGTTCAATTAACATTTTTGACTGCACATGCAGGAATAACTTTTAACATTTGTCCTCCAAATATTTGGATGGTAACTTAGCTAATGACAGCTTCGAAGTGCACATTTGCCACATTGTCAAGAGAAAGCAGACCAACTCAATAACCTGATCACTCCGTCAGTAATTAGTAGTCAGCTGAAACCTCGGGCCCCTCAGGTGCATTGCTATAGATTAGTCTAGGAAACACTAATTAGATGACAAGGGACAAAACAGTTTGCGGTGGCAGTGGTCAGTGTAAAGCACTTGTGGATTTTAAAGAGCCCCTATTTTGCATTATTAAAGGTCATATTTTGGTTTTGGGGGTTTCCAACAACAGGCTGATATGCATACAAAGTCAAAAAACACTTTCATTGTCTGCTAATATACATTTATTTTACCTAATTATCCCAACGACTCCCATATGATTTGTTCAGCGACCATATGAACTGTATCATTTACTGACAAAGGTACTGTCAAAGTCTGACAAAGTCCCGTACATAATAGTCTCTGCTGCTCCTTCCTTTAATAGCAAATGGCAAACACATGCCATGTTGCAGCATAGGTTATTATGTTAAAAAAATCTGACAAATGACAGCACTAGTTTGCTATTGACCTTATTCTAAAATGTGGAAGTGCTTTTTGCGATTGTTTTAGAACTTCTGATTTAATTCTGCCTATGGGAGAAATGACTAGGAATAATAAACGGCAGAAAACGGTTAAACTACTTGCTCTATAAACAAGTGTTTGCATGACTATACAGACAAAATATAATAATACAATAGGAAAATATCAGTTTGCAACATCAAGCAGCAAAACAAGTTTTTTTAATGTCTAAAAATGAAAGAAAGTGAATAAGACCGGAAGTCTCAAGGTAAAAAGATTTAAATGGCTGTGCCCGCTCGTACACGAAGAATAAGATGAATACTGTGGAGTTGTTGTGAAAAAGAACTTTAACCCTTTAATCCTCACAGCAAATCTTCATCTGTTAGTGAACGTCATCTTCGTGTCATGATCAGTCCTGTGACCCCCTGTGCCCCGTGTCTGAAGGGAACGGCACATTCACGTTTTACCAGATCCGCAATTCATACAGTATTTGATGATGTACCATATCGACGTCAACACGTTCAAGCACAAGATCCGAACTCAACATGAATCATTTATTTGACTCTGAATCAATCATTTTGTTAAAGAATCAATAGTTTTAAACGCGGTGCATTTCCAGATTTAAACCTTAGCTGTATGTTTTCATTCACTTAGTGCTGTGTTACACACTGGATGGAAGCTCATTTCACCCCTAATAGGGGCTCTTTAAATATATATATATATATATATATATATATATATATATATATATATATATATATATATTTCTCTCTATATATATTTTTGTATTTAAAGGCACAGTTCACCCCCTCTTTCTAGACAACCTTCACTTGCACTAACTGATTTTAAATCACACTGAACTGAGCTAAACTGAACTGAACTGAACTGAACTTAAACACTAAAAACTGAATTAACCTGTTCCAGTTACTATGACCATTTATGTGAAGCTGCTTTGACACAATCTACATTGTAAAAGCGCTATACAAATAAAGCTGAATTAAATTGAATTGAAATAACAACTTTAGTAACTGCTATGTTTTCTCTCTTTGCATTTTTTCACAATTAGTCAGATGACTTCATGTTTGCTTCATGTTGTTAGCATCCACTGCTGACAGACCAAGATGAATCTGGATTTAAATGTGACGATTTGCAAATTCTTCATCATGCTAATAATACAAATTCGAACCATGCACATGACCCTGTGGGACTAAATGTATGAAGGCACAACAAGACAGACAATGTGTGTGCGAGTGTGTGTGTGTGTGTGGAGGTGTCGTGCCAGCTGGACTGAAGTCAGGCCAGTCCTCTCTCTAAGCCACAGGAATGAGATCATATCTACGGGACAAGTGTTCACCAAATGTCCGACCAGTTGCTAATAACATTACCAGCCAGATTAAAGAGACAAAGAGTGAGCAAGTAAAGAAGCAAAGTGAAAAAAGAAGGAAAAGTTAGTTTGGTGGAATGTGAGTACCAGTGTCGCTGATCTCTGTGGTTGATATTGGGTTCAGCCATGTGTACACTAGCAAACGTTTTAAATCACTGCTGTCTGAAACAAACATGAAAAAGTATATTTACAGGAAATTAATGCGGCCATATGAGTGAGTATCTCTGAATGGAAATGTCCTAAACACAACTCTCTGAATGAATCACATTAGTGTCAAAAACATATAGATGAGAATTAAATCCATAGTTTAAACCAGTGAAAATGTCTCCAACCAATCTTGCATGGTTGTATAATTGTCTAAAATATTAATTCAACACATGCTGTCATAATTAACAGGATTCATACACATTTTTACTTTAAAAATTCTATAACTTTTCCAGGACTTTCAAGTCAATTTTTGACCTAATGTTTCAT